GCGGAGGCGTAGTCAAGGCGGTGGGTGGAGGCGAAGTCAGCGACAGCAGCGACAAGGGCGTCAAGGCACGAGGTCGGAACAGACGGGTCGGTAACGAGAGAGGCAAGGACCCGAGGAACAAGGGGACGAGCGGCACGAAGGTAGTCACACAGCGGGGGGGGTGCAACGACAAGAGAGGACGGAGGAGGCGACGGCAGAAGGGGAGGACGAGACGGATGGGAACGAAGCAACATAGGGTGGGAGCGCAAGACAGGCGAGGCAGGACGAGCGCGGGAGGGACGGTGAGACCAGACGTGCGACGGAGGAGTCGGGTCAGGAGACAGAGGAGGGGACACAGGAGGGGAACGAGGGGGGAGACGGGCCGGGGACGAGTCCGGCGGAGGGAAGACAGGGCCGTAAACAGGAAGAGGAGGAGACGGCCGGGGAGGGACCGACGCAGGGTCGGGGGACGGAAGGCCGAGCAGGCGAAGGGCTGACACCGGCGGGGACTGCTGCTGCGGCGGCACAACGGCGACACCGGGACCGCAAGCTGCTCCTCGGCTACCACCGGCACTCTCCACACCAGCACCCCCAGAGGGACCACCCCCAGGGCTACCGAGACGAACACCCCCAGAGTCACCGAGCGGGTGCTGCGACGGCGGCGGCGGCGGCGGCGGCGACAACGACGGCTGCAGCGGCGGCAGAGGCGGTGGAGGGGGGGACTGGGGAGGGGACGCCGCGGGAGGGGCGGCTGGCGAGGACTGAACAGGAGGGCCACGAGAGTCAGAAGACTCCTCAACCGGGTCCACCGACGGAAGGGGGGTGACGTGGGACACACCAGAGGGGGCGGGACGGGGAGGAGGAGGAGGAGGGGCAGGGACTACCGGGGAGGGAGGGACCAGGAACAGGGGGGGAGTAACCGGGGGACCACGGTGGGGGAAGCGACGGTAGTAGGAGACGGACTCGTCAAAGGTGACGTCACGAGAGTGAAAGAAGCGGTGAGACGGCGGGTGGTAAAAGTGCCAGTCGGACGCGTCAAGGGGAAAACCGAGGAAGACACAGGGAAGGGTGCGGGCAGTGAGCTTGTCCGTGCCGGAGGCACGGACGTGAGCAAGGCAGCCCCAAACGTGGAACGCAGACGCGTCACCAGGAGACCCAGTCCAAAGACGGGTCGGCGAAACCTGCGGCTGCTGAGGGTGCGGCCACAGGTTAAGCTGGTGAGAAGCGTAGCGCACAGCGAACGGCCACAGAAAATGGGGTGCACCGGCATGGATCATGGAGGTGCGAGCGACCTCCATGACCAAACCGATGCGTCGCTCAGCGACCCCATTCTGCTGTGGGGAGTCCGGTAGGGTGAACGTCTGGGTGATGCCCTCCGCACGACAAAAGCGACCAAGGACACCGGAGGCAAACTCGCCACCACGGTCTGAGTGAAGACGCAAGACAGGGAGACCGCGGTGGACACGCGCAGAGACAAGCCAGGGGATGAGAGCGCCAGGCACGTCGGCCTTGCGCTCCAGGGGAAAGACCTGGGTGTAGTGTGTGAAGTCGTCGACAAGCACAATGAAGTAGCGCTCTCGACGTGGCCCAGGGACGGGGGCGGGGCCCCAGACGTCCAGGTGCAGGGTCTGCAACGGCGCGGCGGTAGGGGGAAACGAGGAGGAGTGAGGGGCACGGCGAAGCCGACCCTCGACACAAGGCGTGCAAGGTGGGGCTGGAGAGGAGGGAAACGCAGGGAGAGAACCTGGGAGACCAAGGACAAGACCGTGCTGGGACATGTGACGCAGACGCTGGAGCGCAGGGTGACCTAGGCGGTGGTGCCAAAGGAGGGTCGGGTGAGTGAGGGACCGACAGGAGCAGGCAGCAGCAACCTGGGTAGACGCAGCCACCTGAGGGAGCGCTCTAGCCGGGGGGGTCACGGTGTCCAGAGTGAATAGGCCGGACACCGGGTCCCGGGGGAACGTGGACAGGGGGGCACCAGTGGCGGCCTTGGTACAGACAGCATACCGCTCGTGACCAGGGAACGTAGTGGTGACGCCAAGGTCCTGGAGGCAGCCGACACCAACTAGGTTCCTGGAGAACGAGGGGATATGCAGACCTGTAAGAGAGCCCGAAGGAACCGCCGGACAGGGAAGGGTGGTGGAACTGCGGGCGACTACCGGACCGCCAGAGGGGTCAGCGAGAGAAACGGCAGCAGGTACGGGAAGCGGCGTCAGGGTGGTGGAGTCGCGGAAGAAACACCGAGAAGCGCCAGAGTCCAAGGTGAAGGAAAGCGAAGCAGAGGCGTCTGGCGACGGAACGACGGCGGAAGCACCAAGACTACACAAAGCAGGGGATCCTACGCCTGACGCAGCAGGGGAGGGTACACTAGGCACACCTACACTAGGCAACAGTGAGTAATAAGCGGGAAGCACACTAGAGTCATGAGCATACATCACATGCAGAGCAGAAACAATGGCATCCATGTCCATATCAAAGATCTGAATCTGACGACCTAGCAAACTGTGCCAGTCCGGGAGGTCTGGCGACGGGCCGAAGCGCTGACAAAAGAGGTCATCCAGGCGACGAAAACAGCGGGGAGTGGAGTGACCGATCTTACTGCAGACGAAGCCGCGGCGAGGACCGGTCTGGATCTGGTACTGACAACGCCCGCCGCCAGAGCCGCCACTCGGCACACCACCACGCGCCCGACCACCGCCTGCGCCAGGCCACCCGGGCGGGAGGACACTCGTCTGTCGCGTCTGCGACGGCTGCTGCGGCTGCTGCGAAGGCTGCGACTGCGGCGGCTGCTGCGGCTGCTGCAACTGCAGGGGCGGCGGCTCAGCTGGACCGGGCAGGGTCCCCGCGTCCGCGCCAGCACCAGACGACCCGACACCACCACTACCCCCTCCCGCACCCCTGCCGCCGCCGCCGCCGCGCCCAGCCTTGGGGCGGCGGCCCTTCCCCGAACGAAGCTGTGCTGCAGCAGCTGTCTCAGCCACTGCGGCAGAGCCGTCGGAGAAGGTACACTGGGCGGGGGCACAACCCTGAAAGATAGGGACAGGCACGACACCGCTCGCCTGGGCGATGGAGCGGTGACGGGTCTCTATCACAGTCAGGGTGTCTACGAAGTCAGTGAGGGTGAGGTTGGCTGGGTGAAGGCTAAGGAAGCGGTCGCGGGCGACAGCAAGGCGGTCAGGGAGGCGGGTGGCAAGCAGGTAGAGGGTAGAGGTAATGGGCGGCTGGTGGGCTCTAAGCTGTGCGTCAGTGCAGGCGGCGCGCCAGGTCTCCTCTATCGAGCGCAGGTGGGCAGCGAGGTCAGAGACAGTGGGGAAAGAAGCAAGGTCAGGAAAGAGCATCGGGAGGATCAGGCGACCCACCGAGGCAGCCGGGGGGGTGGAATAGCGCTTGATGACGGCATCTAAGTAGGCCTGAGCAGTAGTGAGGGACCTAAAGCGAGGACGCTCGGACGGGGGGAGGGCGTTGCTAATGGCAAGCTGGGCGACAGCATCGCGAGAAAGCCAGACAGAGCGCGCACGGGCAATGGCAGCAGTAGACTCACGCTCAGTGGGTGTGGGGTCAGCGGGCAGAATAGCAGGGGGGTCTGGGCAGGGGAGCGTACCGTCAAGGTGTGCGGAAAGCGGTTCACCATCCTGCCGCTGGCCGGTGAGTTGGCGGCGGAGGTCGGCAAGCCACGCCTCGAACTCTAGGGGCTGACCTTCAGCGTCGAAGCGAAGCTCCGCCGCCATCAGGAACAGTCCAGTGCGGTGCAGGGCGGTGCAGTGCGGTACAGTGCGGTGCAGTGCGGTGCAGTGCGGTGCAGCGCGATGCAGTGCGGTGCAGTGCGGTGCCGTGCGGTGTAAGGCAGTACAGTGTGGTGCGCGGCGGTACGGTGCAGGGCAGGGCAGGGCGGGGTGGGGCGGAACCGTACCAGTGAGGAGGATGGGGCCGGGGCAGCGGGGCCGGGCAGGTGCGATCGGGCCGGGCGAGGACGACGGGGCCGGGCGGGAGCGACAGGGCCGGGCGGGCGCGACAGGGGCCGGGCCGGGGCGACGGGGCCGGGCGAGCGCGACGGGGGCCGGGCAGGGGCGACGAGGCCGGGCGGGTGCGACGGGGCCGGGCGGGCGCGACGGGGCCGGGCTGGTGCGACGGGGCTGGGCGGCTGCGACGGGGCCAGGCGGGTGCGACGGGGCCGGGCGAGCAGGACGGGGCCGGGCTGGTGCGACAGGGCCAGGCGAGCGCGACGGGGGGGGGGGGGGGGGCCAGGAGGGGCGCAGCAGGGGCCCAGGAGGGGCGCGACGGGGCCCAGGAGGGGCGCTACGGGGCCTGGGAGGGGCGCGACGGGGCCCAGGAGGGGCGCTACGGGGCCTGGGAGGGGCGCGACGGGGCCCAGGAGGGGCGCTACGGGGCCTGGGAGGGGCGTGACGAGGCCCAGGAGGGGCGCTACGGGGCCCAGGAGGGGCGCTACGGGGCCTGGGAGGGGCGTGACGGGGCCCAGGAGGGGCGCGACGGGGCCTGGGAGGGGCGCGACGGGGCCCAGGAGGGGCGCGACGGGGCCTGGGAGGGGCGCGACGAGGCCCAGGAGGGGCGCTACGAGGCCTGGGAGGGGCGCGACGGGGCCCAGGAGGGGCGCTACGGGGCCTGGGAGGGGCGCGACGAGGCCCAGAAGGGGCGCTATGGGGCCCAGGAGGGGCGCTACGGGGCCTGGGAGGGGCGTTACGGGGCCTAGGAGGAGGGCGACGGGGCCCAGGAGGGGCGCTACGGGGTCCAGGGAGGGGCACGACGGGGCTTGGGAGGGGTGCAACGAGGTCCGGGAAGGGGCGCGACAGGGCCCAGGGACCGCGACGGGTCTAGGGGGGGGCGAGCGGAAGCGGTAGGTGGGGGGGGATCCTACCTACGCGTGATACCATATCAAAATTGGAAGAAGTGAATGGGTGTTAGAGAGGGGGTACACACAGATATACCTAAGTGTTGTACCCTGTAAGAGGCTACCCTATACAGTCTATACAAACATGACAAATACACATGTTTGACAGAACACGCTCTTATATGAATCAGCACCAGCAGAGCAATGTTATTTACAATCACCTAAATTCAGTAGGCAAGCATCATATCACACTCCTCCCAAACCTTCCCTCCCACCCATACTAGTGTCCATGCTCACAGCTCCTCTCTTCCCTTCACTTTCCCCTATCCAAGCACCAAACCCTTGCCCAACCTCATGGCACCTATTCCCTGTCTGCAGCACAGGAAGACAGAAGGTAATCATACTCAAGACACACAGCAGGAAGCCCGAATCAAGAGAGCAACTGCAAAAATACTAGATTGCCAGTAGAACACTACACAGCCTGCCATCCATCCATTCACCATTCATCCACCATCCATCCATCCAGCCAGCCACCTAGAACAACCTTTCCAGCACATAATCCACCATGCCCAAGAGCGACCGCTTTGCATCCCCCTCAGGAAGCATCTCCAGGGACCGCTTCGCACTCCGCCCATGCTCCTCAGCCATGGCCCGCGCCTTCTCCACACCCCCACTCGCCAGCACCAGCTGCACGGCCTGCTCAAGCGACCCCTCCTCCACAAACTCGCTGTCTACCAGGTCCCGCAGCTGCGGGCCGATGGTGGGGTGGCGCAGGGCGAACAGTGCTGGGGCGGTGAGGTTGCCCGAGGCTAGGTCGGATCCTGCTGGCTTGCCCAGCTGCTCTGTCGTCTGGGTGAAGTCCAGAATGTCGTCCACCACCTGGGGGGGGGGAAGGGGGAAGGGGGAAGGGGGGGAAGGGGACAGGGAGACATGGAGAGGGAGAAGGGACTTGTTGGAGGAGAGAAGACAATAGCTGGCGCTGCGAGGCTACTGCGGAATAGGGCCCTGCTGGCTCGGCCTACTGCTCAGTCCCGACTGTGGGCAAGACCCACTTGCCGTCCACCATCTGGGGGATTGGAGGAGTTGTGCTAATAAAGAGAGAAGCTCTTGAGGGCTGTTGCTGGAGAGAAGCAGAGCACTGATGCTGTGAAGGTGACCCATGCTAGGCCTTCACCAGCCGTTCTGTTGGCTAGGTAAGGCCCAGAATGCCGTCCGTCATTCAACTGGGAGAGCGATCAGGGTAGGTCATAAAAACAAGGGACAAGGGCTTAGGGAGGGTGGCGGGCCGAGAAGAGTGGGTGGAGCAAGGGCCTAGCAGCAAATGAATCCGACATAGCAGTGAACACGATATGACATGAGTGTGCAGATGCAGAGGGAAGGAGGAGGGCGACGGGGCGGATTGGGACAGGGGGCAGGGAGGTGGGGAGGATACATGATACCGATTAGAGATACCAGCCACAGCCGCAGCGGCAGCAGCAGCAGCAACAGTGGCAGTAGCACCAGCAGCAGCAGCAGCATTGACGTCGACAGCATCTACGGCATTGTACCTGGAAGGAAAGCCCGAGGTGCTTGCCATAGTCGAACATGGCATTACAGGCATCCGGCCGGCAGCCACTGAAGATAGCGGCGGATTTTGTGCTGGCGGCAATGAGCGAGGCTGTCTTGAAGAAGCTCTTCTCCGTGTACTGCTCAAAGGTCAGGTCCGCGTCAAATAGACTCGACGCCTGCTGAATCTCCCCGTTGGCGAAGTCCGCAATTACCTGGGAGGGAGGGGGAAGGGGCGAGATGTGGGTGGTGTTGGGGGAGAGAAGGTTAGTGGAAGAGAGGGCCAATGCCTGGTACGTACATCCGCCCAGGAGCGAAACTGGCGTTGCCCTGAATGAGGGGAGGACTAGGGGTAAGTAAGGGTGAAGAGCAAGGGGGAGAGAGGGGGCGTGAGGTGGACATGGTGCTGGCAGCGATGAGCAAGACCATCTCCGTGTTCTGCTCAAACGTCAGATCCGCTATCACCTGGGAGAGGGGACCGACGGAGGGGGGGAGAGAAGGTGAGTGGGGGAGAGGTTCGACATGTACTGGATCTCCGCCTTGGCGAAGCCCGCTATCACCTGGGGACGGGGAAGGGAACGGGGGAGGGGGGACGGGGGAGGGGGGAGGGGGGTGTATTATTGGGGGGGGGGAGCGGAAGAGGAGGTGAGTGGGGGAGAGTAAGAGACGTCCGTCACCTGCTGGATTAGCGCTTGGGGGAAGTCAGCACACACATGGGGAGGGAGGGCCCGAGGGGGGGCCACGGTAGGGGGGTGAAACGGTGAGGGGGAGAGAGGGAATGACAGCGCATGGGGAGAGACAGGGTATGGGCTGGTCGAAGAGCGGAGCCGAGCGGGGAAGGGAAAGGGCGCGAGGAGGAGGGAGAGGTGGGAGGGGGAAGACAAGAGTGGCAAGAGAAGGAGCAGGTGGATGGATAGCGATGCCGTGGTTATTGTATATTAAACTCTTAGGTCAAGCATGTACTTACAGCTCAGACTACTACTCTAGTGCATCGATTCACATGGTCTTTGACCTACGGCCAGCTCTTCTCTTCGTCCCATTCACACTGCTCTCTCGCCCTCCAATCCGTTTCTGCAACCTTCTTCACACACCCTCTCGACCGTACTGAAGCTCCCCAACACTCTGCAGGAACTGTCAGAAAGCATTGGTTTTTTAGAATTCTAAAAAAACCAATTCAGTTCTGCGGGAACTCTTAGCAAGCAGCACCGGAGCAAGCAGCTCATCCTGAGAAGGAAACCAGACGATCCACGTTCCTCAGCAACGCATCATTACGAACAAGCCTACCTTCTAGCCGTGAGTCATGAGCCGTGAGCCGCCATGGCTGGCCGTTTTCCGCCTCCCTGAAACGCGCACTACACCACCTGGGAAACCCAACTCCTGGGGCATATCCAAAAAAGATCACGAGGCCACGAGCCGACGAGCCAACGAGCCAACGAGCCAACGAGCCAACGAGCCGACGAGCCTTGAGCGCACCTGATCCCCCATACCTGCGAGATGAGCTTCATGCCCTCGAGGTTGTCCAGGTTTGCGAGGCCACAGCACCTCGGAGCCCCACCTCCCAGTCCTACCCCTATCCAAGACACAGCCCAGCGGGTCAGCCTTCCCTACGCGCCTTGCACGCACCCCAGCGCCAGTAATATCTGCGAGATGAGCGTGATGACCTCGAGGTTTTCCAGGTTCGCGCCGCCACACCACCTCGGAGCCCCACCTCCCGGCGCCTACACAGAACCGAGTCCAGTCTACCTTACGCGAGCCCAGCCTCCCTAACGCGAGCCCAGCCAACTTTGCGCACCTTGAACGCACCCAACCCCTCTGTACCTGCGATATGAGCTTGATGACCTCGAGGTTGTCCAGGTTCGCAAGGAACCACGATGACTGCGCGAACAGGTAGTCTCCCGCGAGCACTGCGACGCGCGTGCCGTAGAGCTGGTGCACGGTGGCCTGGCCGCGGCGCTGCGTGCTGTCGTCCAGCACGTCGTCGTGCATCAGGCTAGCCGTGTGCAGCATCTCCGATATCTCCGCCAGCCGCCGCTGCTTCGGCTGAATGCCGCTGCACAGCAGAACGGGAATTGCGGACACAGGAGGGGGGGGGGGGGGTTGGAGAGGGCGGAAAAAGAAGGGGGGAGTTCCGGGGGAACAGAGGGTACGTGGGGGGGTTGGTGAGGCTTGGCTAGGACGCAGCGGGCTGGTGCACGGTGGCCTGGCCGCGGCGCTGCGTGCTGTCGTCCAGCACGTCGTCGTGCATCAGGCTCGCCGTGTACAGCATCTCCGATATCTCCGCCAGCCGCGGCTGCTTCGGCTGGATGCCGCTGCACAGCACCAGGGGGAGAGTCGCGTTGCGGACACGGGAGGGCGGGGGATGGGGGGAGGGGAGAGGAGAGAAGGTGGGGGGGGAGCGGGGAGCGGAGGGCACGCGAGAGAAAGGGGTGAGACTTGGCTATGACACACAAAGTTTATTCCCTTAGCCGATTATTTTCCTCAGCTGAAACATAGGCGCTTACGAGCCCAATCCGCGGGGTTTCAAAGCGAAGGCCCGTGTAGAGAAAGGCGGGTCCGATAAGGCAAACTCGGGATACGGGACGGGACCAGTGCGAGAAGGGAACGAGCGAGCGGGAGTCCAGCAGCAACATGCGTAGCAAGATCACGACCACCAACACGAGCAGTGGGCACTCACTCGAGCCCCATGAGCTGCGCCGTGCCAAGCGCCACGAGCAGCACCAGCGCGGGACGCATGCGCTTGCCGCCCGCGCCGAAAATTTGCTCCGCGGCTGACATGAGTACCGGGTGACGCGCGCCGACGACCTGCAATGGGCGGAGAGACAGGCGGAGATGCACCGGGGGGGGGAGGGGCGGATGGGGGGGGGAAGGGGAAAGGGGAAGAGGGAGGATTGAGAACAAGAGGGAAGCGAGTGTGGGGCGGAAAGGCAGGACAACTGAGGTGGAGCTATTTTGGACGAGATAATGCGCCGAGAGGGGAAGAGCGAGCCTGTGACGGAGACCTCGGAAGCTCGAAAGCATCTTACTCACGAATCTTTCTCGATGGACACGGACGCGATTCCTGTCCTCTCTCTGGCACACCCTCACGACACGACTACCCATCAGGGCCCAATAACAACCGGAGCGGGACGCGGGTGATGTAGGCCACATATGGGTTACGACGTATCTATGACAGGTTCTCGTAGAGTATTTGGAGGACGTTCTCGACGGGCGTGATCAAATCGTTGAGCTTGTAGCGGGGACTGGGACGAAAAAGGTTCGAGGCATATGACGAATGAAGAAACAAATGACACTCTCCCTCTTCCCCTCTCTCTCTCCCTCTTCCCCTCTCTCTCCCTCTCCCTCTTCCCCTCTCACTCCCTCTCCCTCTTCCCCTCTCACTCCCTCTCCCTCTTCCCCTCTCTCTCCCTCTAGACGTACCGACTTGAGGTTCTCGTTGAGCATCTGAAGGTCGTTCTCGACGGGCGTGATCAGATCGTTGAGCGTGTGGCGGCCGAGAGGAATGGCCTTGGCGAAATCCGGGACGGCGACGCTGATCTCCTTGTCTGGAGGGAACACCAGGTGTCAGCATCGGGTTATACGGGGAGAAGAAACATCGATAGAAGAACGAATTGGAGATCGGAGGAAACTGTGATCAGCTGGATTTGATCAGCAAGACAGACAAGGACGCGGAACGACCTTTCCGTTTCTACGGCAAGTGAATGCGCTCTAAAAGCGGGGGAACGCGGGCATTGAAAACACACCACACTGGCACCATTCCAGGCACGAACGCGGAAAATAATCAAATTCAAGGACAAGAGGCATACCTAGGGAGGGCGCGGGTTGAGCAGACGAGAGGGTTGGGGTGACGCGAGCGACAGTCCGGCTTTTGGATTGGCTCTGTCGCAACAGACGGGAGGATGCCAAAGAGAGCTTCTTTCCCGCACAGCCATTGTCCCACGCCGACAGACCCGCTCGCCTTGTGTCTGCTGTTTCTGACCCTCGGCCGACGGCTTGTGAACAGAGGGCAGAGTCAGATTGCCTCAGTGGGAGGACTGACCCCACCGAAGCGGATATGGATGCCATTGCAGGGTTTGCTGCTAGTGGATATGGATTAGACAAGCTGTTCGCACGGTGTGATCCTGGCAAAGGGAGGAGCGGTGTCCTTCACAGTTTCACAGCTTCAGCCCAACGCTATATCTCAACCCTGACACTCCCCCACGCTCGTCACAGCGGCTGTGACAAGCGACTCTCGGGATGGCGAGAGAGGCGGGTTCTTGACCGTCGAAAGGCTTCTCAAACAAGAGCAGGAGGAAACTGTCTGGGCTGACGTGGACAGGCAGGTTTCTTGCCGCGAGTGGCTCGTGGAGACTGTCTAGCTAGAGCTTGGTCACAGGAATGGAAAGGCTAGCGAGCGAGCACTGAGCTAGACAGGATGAACGGGGATACACAGGGAAGAGTGATGTAAAGCGGGAGGCTGGTTGATGTTTCAGGTTGGTGTTGTGGCGGGGGTGGCTGGTGTGGCTGGCTATTATTTCTCTGGCACCAGTCAGGCTTAGAGACGATCTTGGCGGAAATGCAGCGTTTACAGTAAGTGGAGGCTCTAACCAGAAACGACGACGACCAGAAACCAGAAAGTGCTGAAATTTCTACAGACCAATGAGAGTGCGATCTGAACCGGCAATTCTCGACGGGACTGTGACGGAAGTTTGGGCTGGGCAGGATTCCAAATATCTGGCTCTGCTCTGGTTGGCCCGAGCCACAAGAAGCCTTGCAAACCTTTTCTGTGGAGGTTGTTTCGCGAGGGAGGCTGGGGAGGGAAGTGATGCGTTCACCAGCCGCGGAGTCGCGGGCCTCACACGAAACGAAATGAAAGCACGCAGGACGTTCCCTTTGCCGACGTGGCAGTCACAGAACGGGAAGTGCACCATCCACTCCCGAGTCCTAACCTTTCTGGGCCACGGAGGCAGGCTCTCTCATGGCAGAGATGGTCGCCGAGGGGACTGAGGATATTGGGGCGAGACTGGTGGTCCAAAGCCAGCGCGAGCCCACGTGGCAATAGCATATGCTCTCCTGAAAAAAGTTGAGGGACGTGGCAAGCTCTCTACCGAGGACGTGTGTGGGTTTGTAGGACACCATCCTGAGTGACGTGTTAGATCTGTCTAACTGACCCGTCACGACTTGCCACGCAGCTCACTTCTGTGAGAGAGCCAGCAACATCCCAGTACATGTACGGGATGAATATAACGAGGACAATAATTCACGTACCTAAACCACCCAACTAAAACAATGTGAAGTAAGATAAACACTACATGTCACAATAATATATCCAATGTAATTGGTAGAAAACATTGCCGCACACGCTACAAATCACAAGGCGCACTACCTTAGCAAGCCCACGCCGACAATATAATATCTTCCCTTCGCGTGTTCACGCATCTTCCACAAGAGCCTGTGGCCACCATGACCAAACCATCTACCTAGGTATCGTTCCGCACAGCACTCTCATTCGATTAGTCTCCGGCTCCGGCCCTTCCAACGTGTGCCACCAATCTCAGACCCTCCCCATGCCCTAATTTTCCTCCGTATCCTGGAAAACTCGCCCTCACTCAAACGGTTCAGGAGGTGGGAGAGTGAAATCTCTCTGCCGTGGCTTCTGCAGCACAAAGCTCATGTGCACATAAAGCCCAGCGGCACCCAGGGACGGCGTTACCGCGCGGTGTAACTGATCGTATTTAAACATGTCCACTATCTCCATGTACAGCGGCATCTTGCGCACCTGCAGCAAGGCAAGAGGTGCAGGGCGAATGCAGAAAAAGAAAGGGGAGGGGTAAACATGCGTGGCCACAACCTGGACAGGCGAATGGGATTGGAATGCAAAACGAATGTTGAAACGAAGGCGTTTGGGGAACATCAGGTCGGTCGTGGGGAAGTTCGACAAACTGCTAAGGCAAGTGGCAGGATGAGAACCGGCTGAAGCTGAACAATTAGCAAATCAGGCCTTTCTGTAACATCCCCTTCTATCTACCTACTACAACACCTTTAAGTGGACAAACTTCAGGAGCTCGTTCCCTTGCATCCACGCCTTGCTTGCACTACCCCCCCCCCCCACACCCCTGCACCTCCCCCCCAACCCCTAAAAGCGTTCCAGTGGCATCGATCGGTCAAAACCCCCAAAACCGGAAATCCCTGTGCCAACCAAAACCCCTCACCCAGCCCCACTCCTCCTCTCCCTCCTCCAAGTGCGCTAATCCTTCCCCATCTCCATTTCCTACAGATATTCCCCTCCCTTCACAATACACTAGGTTGTGTGTGGGTGTCCCACTGGGTTCTTCCCTTGACGTAGGTAGGTACCCCTGCTCCCTCCAGGCTCCACCCCCTTCTAGCCCGCTCACCCGGAAGTACAACAGGCCGAACCGGCCACCTTTCCAGGCCTCGGCTCGGACCCAGCCACACAGGCGTCTCCTCAATGGCATCTTTCAGCCTTCCCTATGATCTCGCCCCCCCAGCAACAGCAACAGCCACAGCAACAGCAACAGCCACAGCAACAGCCACAGCAACAGCAACAGCCACAGCAACAGCCACAGCCACAGCAGCAGCCACAGCAACAGCAACAGCCACAGCAACAGCAACAGCAACAGCCACAGCCACAGCAACAGCAACAGCAACAGCAACAGCAACAGCAACAGCCACAGCAACAGCAACAGCCACAGCCACAGCAACAGCAACAGCCACAGCCACAGCAGCAGCCACAGCCACAGCCACAGCAACAGCCACAGCAATAGCCACAGCAACAGCAACAGCAACAGCCACAGCAACAGCCACAGCAACAGCAACAGCCACAGCAACAGCAACAGCCACAGGAACAGCCACAGCAACAGCAACAGCAACAGCAACAGCAACAGCCACAGCCACAGCCACAGCAACAGTAACAGCCACAGCAACAGCCACAGCCACAGCAACAGCAACAGCCACAGCAACAGCCACAGCAACAGCCACAGCCACAGCAACAGCAACAGCCACAGCAACAGCAACAGCAACAGCAACAGCCACAGCAACAGCAACAGCCACAGCAACAGCAACAGCAACAGCCACAGCCACAGCCACAGCAACAGCAACAGCCACAGCAACAGCAACAGCAACAGCCACAGCAACAGCAACAGCAACAGCCACAGCCACAGCAACAGCCACAGCAACAGCAACAGCAACAGCAACAGCCACAGCAACAGCCACAGCAACAGCCACAGCAACAGCGACAGCAACAGCAACAGCAACAGCCACAGCAACAGCGACAGCAACAGCAACAGCCACAGCAACAGCGACAGCAACAGCAACAGCCACAGCAACAGCAACAACACCCTCTGGTTCGTGTCCCTCTACCCCACCCAGCCCCCCCTCTCCCCAACTCACCAGTGAGTAGAACAGGTCGAACCAGAAGACCCCGCCCGGCCTCAGCAGAACGCACTCCCAGTCATAGAACATCTCCTCCAACTCCTGTTTCCATCCTTCCCACACACTCACCCACAGCACCCTGTGGTTCCTGTATCATTACCCCATCCCACTCACTGCTGCCTGCTCCCTCGAGCGTGCACGCATCCCTCTACCTCACCCCACCCAGTTCCCCCTCTCCCCAGCTCACCTGCGAGTAGAACAGGTCGAACCAGATGACCCCGCCGGGCCTGAGCACGCGGTCCCAGTCATAGAACATCTCCTCGAACTCCTCAAAGTCCACGTCGTTGATGCTCGTGCCCGTGTGGATCACGTCGATCGTGTTGTCATAGAACGGTAGCCGCGCCGAGAACGGCAGGTATAGCGGCACCAGCCCCCGCGCTGCCACCGCCTCCATATAAGGCACCCCAGTAGGCTCTGTAGAGTTTTTTTCTTTCGGGCTTGCCCAGTTCTTTCCCGTGGTCAGCACCGTGCAGTTGAATTCCTGCATCCGGGCAGCGAAACTGCCCGAGCCGCCGCCAATGTCCAATCCAATGCGGAGCGTGTTGTTGGTCAGATGGAAAACCTCCTCCATGGAAATCGTCCCCCGGATCCCGCCCTTCCACCGCGTCTTCTCCACCTCGAGATTAAAGCAGTCCTTACAGTCGTTCACTTGCCCTGGACCGGATTTTAAACACTCCCAGGACTTGCACGTGTGCTGCTCCCAGTTCACGTTAGTATCCATGAGAGCACTCTCATTCCACATGGAGTTGGGGAATGGCACAGGGTTCTGGAATCCCGTGAAATTCGCCGCGAAGCACCGGCGCCGCGGCAACGAGTGGCAGCCGCGGTCGAAGATCAGCTGCTGGACGAAGGACCAGTCGTCGGGGCAGAACTCCTTCTCCGTGTAGTTCATAAACCGACTAAGCTCCTCGTCACTCGCCTTGCATCGCGCGGACCGACATACCGCAAGCGGGCCTCCAGTTTCCTCCTCCCCTTCCCCCTCCCCAGCCTTCCCTGCAGCGGCCGCCGTGTTCTGCTTGTGCTTGTAGATGGACAGATCTGCCACCGTCCGTTTCAGCTCCGTAGACGCGTACCCCGCGCGCACGCACGCGTCTCGCGTCGTCTTTAGATCCTTCCTCAGCTCCTCCGGATACGCCGCGGTGCTCCCCACAGCCTGGTCTAGAAGCGTCCTTATTCGCGCCTCGGTCTGGAACTTCTCCGCAGTCGCGTCGCCTTCCAGCTTCAGCACGCGCTGCGTGAGGTTCACGGAAAGATCAATCAGATCCGCGATCTCCTCCGCTCCGGGCGGCGCAGCCTTCCCTTCCCGCACGTCCGTCACGTATTTCTTCTCCTTCGCGGCAGCTTCCTCGCGGCACTTTCTCGCGTCGTCCTCCGCCTTTGCCGCTCTGCCCGCCGCTGCCTGCTGCTCCTCAGCGAGTTTCTTCTTCTGCTCCTCCATTTCCTTTCTCAAACCGTCCACCGCACTCGTGTCCTTCTTAGCCTTGTCAAGATCCGCCGTCAATTGCTGCGCCTTAGTAGCCAACTCCGCCGCTTCCGCCGTCTTCTTGGCTAATTCCCCCGTGAGCTGAGTCACCTGCTGACGGAATCCGTCCAGCTCCGCTTGGCCGTGCGAGCGCTTCGTGATGACCTCGTCGAAGTTGAGTTTAAGAGCCTCCTTCTCCCGCAGCAGCTGCGCCACTACCTGATCGTGCTGCGCGGAGGACTGCTGCGACGTCCATAGGGAGCCGAGGAGCATGAGAACGACGGCGACCAGCGAGAGAAGCGCCCATGGGAGAGCCGCGGGGGGGAGGCGGAGCTTATCGGCTAGCGTTCGCAGCCGGGGTATGGGGTACTGACGGAGGGAAGGGGGGCGGGGAGGCGCGGAGAAAAGGGGAAGAGGGGGGAAGGGAGAAGAGGGGGGGGGGAGGGGGGGGGGGGGGGGGGGAGAAGGGGGGAGAGGAGTGAGTGAGACGGGGGAGGACGGCTGGGTTACGGAATATTACGCGGGACCAATGACGGATAATTGTGTGAAGGAGATCAGGCGCAGAGTGGCGACGGCTGCGTCACAGCCTTTATCGCGTATGATTAGGGTTGACGGTGACGTAAGCATGCTCGGGGAAGGGGAAGATGGGAAATGGCTGGCACTGACCTGGACCATGCTGCCGAAAAAAAGAACCCCTCAGCGATGACCAAGGTGATGGCGACGATCGCACCAGATAGCACCAGATAATGACACCAGGAAATAAAGCCCTCAGCGATTCCGGTGCGATGTTTGCGAACCCGGCGACAATGTATGCGATCACGCCTTCAGCGACAATGGTAGACTGAAAGCTTCGCAAGAAAAACTCTCAGCGGCCTTCACGTGAACCTGATGATATGGATCAAGCTCCGGCCTTCGCGGCAGTCCCTAGACGCTCCATCAAACAGGCGTACGTCCGCTAGATAAGTCAGACTGCTGAATCGCGGACGTCTTGGGAAAAGGTACTCAAAGCACATGCTTGGCTGATCGGTCACATTAGTAGTACCCCACCATTCACCTGCGGCTGTGAAATCTCAGGCAATTAGGGCTGATGCGTCTCTGCATGAGTAGTTGGTTGGCCTGCAGAGGTCAGTGGTCATGTCACTCTACAAGGAGCAGCCACCAACTGATAAACGTTCAATACGATATTCTGAGATTAAGACTGTTCTAGAACGGTTGAAAAGGGTATACTGCGAAACGTTCTTTGAGCGGCGACGCCCTCCTCTCCTCTCACCCTGTCAGTTCGAACTATCGGCACTTGCCTTGAGATTCAGGGCGTGTTTTGAGTAAGTGTCATGCCGAAAAAGAGTCATCCAAGAATTTTGGAAACTCATCGCAACCGCTGAATTTTTTAAATAACGGTTGCGATGGGCTCCAGCATTCTCGGATGACACTTTCTCGGAATGACACCTACTAATTCAGTCCTCAACCTTCAACGATCGTGAAAAACCGCGGAGAGTACTGACTGGCCCAGCCATCACTGAGTGAGCTGGCCGATTTCTCGAAACTCTGTGACCCAAATCTCTGTTACAGATGGTGGTGAGTATACAGTTGCACGCGACTTATAATATTATCTAAAAACACCATGGCCATAACCAGATAATCTATCCTAAACCCTATGCGCCGCTGTACTCTGGGAATAAAATAAAAGCAACTTTGCTACAGAGAAGGGGCTATATATCTATCCACTCCATCAATTCCAGCAAAAAAGCATGGAGGGGTGAACATTCGCGGCCTCTTCATTGATGCATCCTCATCTCCACCACCACTTCCAAGTCTTGCGCCCCCTGATCTTCACCCTCCCTCGTTTGCCCTGACCCCCGTCCACCTCTCCCTCGTCCTCCCCTCTAACCTTGGGAGCACGCACGCAAGGCAGCGCCACACCACGTGCTTTCACCAGGGCAAGAGGCACACCTTGCATATTCCCCTCCTCCTCACTCAACTCTTCATCCTCCCCTCCAACTCCCTCCACCCGCCCCCCCTCGCTATCCTCCCCCAATTCTCCCCCATCCCCATCCTCCTCACCCAACCCCCCCACCGCCTCCCCCCACTCCTGCGCCTTGTTCTTCGACCGCTGCTGTTGGTACCGCTTGAAATCCTGTGAGAATGTCTCCCCACTGCCAGCGGCCATAACACTGGCAAAGGAGGGCAAGGCAGGGGGCCCGGCCATGCACGAGGGCGACAAGGGCCCCGACATCTCGTCCGCTGCTCCCTCACCGTCGTCCGTATCTGCAAAAGCTGCACCCTCTGCTTCAGCCTCTGCTACCCCTGCTGCGGCGGCTGGCGGTACGGATGATGATGATGAAGATGCTACACCTGCTGCTTGCGGTCCCGGGAGGAAAGGAGAGGAGGAAGGAGGGGCAGATTCCAGGCGTTCGGCCGATCCAGGGCATTGGCCTGTCGCAGGCTGCATGTTTTCTCGAGTGTCTGTGCTGCTAGGGAAGCCAGGAGACCGTTGGGCAACGGCTGAGGCGGGAGAGCGGGGGGAGTAAGGCGAGTGTGGGGAATGCGGAGGGTGCAGGGAGTGAGGCGGGGGAGGGGAGTATGGGGAGCGCAGGGAGCGGGGAGAGCGAGGGGAGCGAGGGGAGCGAGGGGAGCGAGGGGAGCGAGGGGAGTCTGGGGAGGGAGAGGAGAGGGGGGAATCGAGCGGCAAGGGCTCAATGAAGAGATCCGTGACGGGGCGTTCAAGGGCAGCTTGGGAGGCCCAGTCAGAGAGAGAGGCGGGGATGGGGACGTCAGGGAGAGACATGCTGGGGGGCAAGCGGGGGGAGGCGGAGCGCAAGGGGGAGGTTTGGCGGGAGTGGGGACGGGAGAGAGGGCGCGGCTCTGTGGTGGAGTGGGGGATGGCGGGGCGTGGGGGGTGGCTGGGACGGTGGGCGGGTTGGGAATTTCTGGGAGATTGGGGAGAGTGAGGAGAGAGAGGAGAGGAGGGAACAGGATGAGTGGGGGGAAGGTGAGGGTGCAATGGAGGGGTGGAAGGGTATGCGTGGAGGGAAGAGAGCGGGTTGGGAGTGGACGAGTGGGGAGGCGCATGCGCGTGGGGATGGGGATGAGTGTGCGTGGATGGGGGGCGCGAGGGAGGGTGGGCGAGAGAGGGTGTGGCGGGCTCGTCGTGAGGGAGAAGGCGGGGGAGCGACAGAGGCAACTGGAACTCAACCTGCATGGAGGGAAGGGCGGAACGACGGGCGGGGGGGAGGCGGGAGAGGGGGGGGGAGGAAGGTGGGGGAAGGAGGGGGGGTGGGGGGGAGGGGGATGGGAGAAGAGAGGATCGAACAGGGGGAAGGGTGAGGACGGGAGGAGGAAGAAGGGGGTTGACGGAATATGCGTTGTTGGAAGAGGATGGGTTGGCATGCAAGCACACGACGCCAAGGATAAATGGGAGGGAGGAAGGAGGAGGGCGATACGACTGCTCAACACCCATGGCCTGAAAGGCGTCTAGCGTCTACAAGAAACACCCATGGTTACGCTATACTCAGTCCCTACCTCCTCCCTACCTCCTTCCCTGCCTCCCTCCCTGCCTCCCTCCCTGCCTCCTTCCCTGCCTCCCTCCCTGCCTCCCTCCCTTCCACCACCACTTCCACTCTCGCCCGATTCCCCCTCCCTGCCCATCCTCCCTCCATCCGTCCGTCCCTAGCGTTTTTCCCAAACCCTATTCTTCTCCCCTTCAACTCCCCTCCTTCCATTCTCCACCGGCCCCCCACCGCCCTTTCCCCACTCACCTTGCTTCCTCTCTTTCCCCGCAACGTTTCTTGCCTCTCTTCCTCCTCCTCGTCCTCCTCCTCCTCCTCCTCCTTTCCCCCCCCTCCTCCTCCTTCGGCTGCTCTCGATCCGTCACACCCCGACTGCTGCGCTCCACTCCTCTTCCCACCCCCTCTCCCCAGCTTTCTTCTCTTCTCTGTTCACACGCCTCGAATAAGCCACCCTCCTCCTCCCCCATTCCATAAACTATCCTTCCCTCGTCGCTCCTCCCCACATCTCTTCTCCCCTCATCTCCCCTCGCCCTACTTCCTCCTCCTCCTCCTTCCCTTCCTTCCGCATTCCTCCCTGCTGCTTCTCCCCCTTTCCCCCACCCCCCCCTTCCCCTGTCCGGCTCCGCCCAATCACTTCCCCCGCCCGCGCTTCTACTTTCCCTTCCGCCGTCCGCTAGCCTGCTCTTGCTCGCGCGGAGCGCTAACCCCGAATCCCCTGGTTCTACATAATTAATCGTAACGGCCCCTTCCCGAATAGCGAGAGCTCCGCCACCTGCGCTTGGGCCAAGCGCGCTCGGTACTACCCCCCCCGCGTGCGGCTGCGCGTTCCCCGCGCCTTCCGCTTCCTGTCCCTGGCGCTGCGCGTGCCGCCGCCGCCGCATCTCCTCAAACTCCGCGCTGAAGCCCGCCCCGCCGCGGACCTGCCACGCCATCCGCGCGCCATCACCCTCCCCATCCCCAGCGCCCCCGCCCGCGCGTAGGCTTTCCGCCAGCCCGGGGATCTGCGGAAAGTTCCTCCGCAACGCCGCGGTCTCGCCGGGCGGAAGGCGGACTTTGGTGGCGGAGTCGACGGCGGAGGCGGAGGCAGAGAGATCCGCACGCAGGCGCGTGTGCGCGGAGGGGGCGGGGGGAGCGGCGGAGGAATGGGGGCCGGGGGCAGCGGCGGAATCGCTCCTGCTACGATGGATTGATTGGGGGGAATGATCTGCGTGAGGGTGAGAGTGCGGATTAAGGGCCGGGGCGGGTTGAGGGGGAGGTTGAGAGAATGGAGATCCAGCAGAGGAGCTAGCGAGGGGATAAGAGGGTTTGTTGTGAGAAGGATAAGATCCGCTGTGGCCATCCCTATTCGGAGGGTCCTTCGACGGGCGAGCCGATCGGATACGCGGGCGTGGACGCTCGTGCGAAGGCGATTGTTCGCGATGGGTAGGGTTACCAGACAAAGTTACGTCGTGAGAAGCAGCAGGCTGGACGCGAGGCGGAGCCTCAAAAGATGCGTAAGGGGTAATCTGACTTGGCAAAGGATGCGCCGACTCAAAGTATGGCCCGACTGGCGCGTATGGCTCCTGCAACTCCCCGTGTTCCATGTGCGTGCCGCTTCGCGGCCGATGCATGACCCGGGTCTGGCAATTTCCGACGCTGGCCGCGTAAGGCGGTAACTTTTGAGTCGACTCAAAAGTCACTAAGCGAAGGGAAGCGAAGGTCTGAGGGAAGGGAAAGGAAGGACGGGAAGGGAAGAGACGCTAGGCGATGGCGGGTGTGCGCTGCGCGGTCGAAAGCGTGTGTCGCCGTGTTACCACCAGTTGGCGCGGCGAGTAAAGCGGGTTCACGGTCGGAGAGTTCAGAGAGATCGCGTGAAGGGGAGCGTAAAGAGGGTGAGGCCGACGGGTAGCAGAGAAGAAGACATGACATGGCATGGCATGACATGACATGGCAATTAGGCATGGATGCTATCGCGTGGCAGGTGGACTCGTGCCGTTATGCGTGTATACGTGAAATAACTAGGGTGGATGAGGTAGGAGGGGAGTGGTCCAGAAAGGTCAGGTGAGCAGCTGGAGAAGGCAGTACAGTAGCAGAGCTTCGTCGCACGGAACAAGAGGACAGGACAGCAGCAGCAGTTGGGTACAAGGAAAGTAAAATTTGGGTTTGGCAAGCTGGTATGGACTGGTTTGGGCTGGTTTAGGGTGGTTTGGGCTGGTTTGGATTGGCTTGGCTTGGGTGGTGTGTCAGTGGTATTGGTGATGCATGTGCACATCATCTCACGCATCATGGTCATCCCTCCCGAGCAGGGCACGTGTTAAAAAGGCAATTACCCTGACTTGACTTAAACTCCAATGTTTGTTTCTGACCGACCCTGTGTTTTACAGAGCTTTTCCCAGGCCAGCCTTGAAGAACTCAGAGAGATTTCTCTAGTCACCCGTAGAGTCCAGTAGGGTTTTGAGAGGGCCCGGACACTTCGGTAGCCTCCAGGGGGTGTAGGAATAACTCAAGGTCCCCTGTCCTCCCTTTCCCCATTAGGCCCACATTAGCCCCGCCCTTCCCTCCCTCAAACTTGGAAAGTTGTGTAACGGCAGAGACTCGAATAGCTTAAATTCGAATATTGCCAGGGTTTCTGTACGTTTCTGTGTGTTACTGTCGTTTCTTATACAAATCAGCGCGGTAAGAATTTGAACGAATGTTTCTTGGGAAATTAACCACGCCCTAAGCTGCCAAGGAGCTAGAGCTTCACCTGTATTTCCGCACGTTCTACCAGATAAATGGTCACTTGGCAGCAGGTTTTAAAATGAGCAGCCACTCAAAATCGCCCCAGCCCTTCTCCCCACCCCCTTTATCCCCGCACCTCCTGGCCCAAATTTAGCTCCTTCACAGGTGCATCTGTGGTGGCGGATTTCCCACCCCGAAGCACTCCCACTCGCAACCCCAGTGCCTCGTCCCACAAAAAATGCCCACACTCTATCAGGCCTTTTCGAACGCGGACCCTGAAGAATCTTGACGAAGTCAGATTTTACAGGGTGATTTTTCGAGGAGCTCAGATCGTCCGAGGTGGCAAAAAACCTAGCGAGAGCCCTGCTCCCGAGCTGCAAAATGGCTGGCTGGTCACGTCGATTTTGCCAGGTGTGTAACGCAACCCTTCTGTAAGGCAAAGCACCGTGCTTTACCGCACTACTGTGTCGGACACGTCCATTTCTGTGCTCGCATTGGAATTTGGGAAATTATACGCTGGATAAGCCTTACTGTTTGATTCCCCGATTTAGTCACACTACCCCAGCGCAGTCAACCTTTTATAGGTTCAGACTCAGCGGCATCATACTTTTTGTTCAATCTGATGCCGCACGGCAAATATTTTCGCCACGTGTCCCATTTCTGCCGGTGTGCTACCCCCAGGAACACAGACACCAGACTCCCATTTCGGGCCAACTTCGATTTGATTCACAAATTACCAGAGCGCGCATTCAATGTGGCTTACTTTTGTAATTTAGCGTAAAGACACGGCACAATCTTTCCACTTTACATGACGAAGCCTTTCTTCTTATTTTTAACTTTACAATCCAAAATCAAGTAGACCCTTTCTCACATTTGTCTCGCGATTCCCATATAAAATTGCGAGGCGCGTATGAGGACTGCAGGTTTGATGTGAAAGGTACGATGCCACAATCGCGAAACCAACTGTCAATAAATTCGGGTGCAATGACGCGACTGACAGAATGGTGCATTACACGTTGTCGACGAAATCTGAGGGTGATTTCAAGGTTCGATACAAGTTTTAGAATCCCGATGAATATCATTTATGCGGAATATGAATAATATACACCACTTCGAACTCCAATCATGAGGTAGCATGCATTTTCAGGAATAACTGTTCCATTTTCCTCTAGAAAATAACTTGTTTTTGGGAAACATTCGCATGAAAAAAAAACTTTCTTCCTCATTCATATTGTTGTGATTTTTTTTTGAGTAGTTAAAGCAAACTCGCGGATTTCGAAAACAATTTTAGGAGTTGCTCTATGCGCAGGCCCAGCCTCGAGGAACGATTTTAGTGCATATTTATTTGTCCTGTAAAATAAACAATTTCAAGCACGGCGATCTCGGCCGTATATCGGATGGCCCGAAGTCATGTCCCGAGGCTTTTCCGTGCTCAGAATGGGCCCTAGCGGAGTCTATTCGGAAAAGTTTTTGACACCGAGGTGACGAAAGTTCTGTTTTGTTTGGGATGGTAACATACAAATGAGAAGAAAAGACTTCGGCATGTAACGTGGTAAGTTTGTGCCGTGTCCGACCCTAAATTACAAAGTGAGCCACATTGAATACGTGCTCTGGTACGTTGTGAGTCAAATCGAAGTTGGCCCGAAATGGGAGTCTGGTGTCCGTGTTCCTGGGGGTAGCGCACTGGCAGAAATGGGACACGTGGCTAAAATATTTGCCGTGCGGCATCAGATTGAACAAAAAGTATGATGCCGCTGAGTCTGAACCTATAAAAGGTTGACTGCGCTGGGGTAAGTGTGACTAAATCGGGGAAACAAACAGTAAGGCTTATCCAGCGTATAATTTCCCTTGGAATTTTGAAGCACAAACAATTATGCATTGCGATCCGCTGAAAGGGTCCTCGATAATGATCGAAGCGGTCACGTGAGTCACACAGTCAAGCGTTACAGCTACAGTTTAAATTTTGTCAATCTCTCATTCACGCCTCACTAAAGCGAAATTGCGTCACAAAAGAAGAGCAATGCAAATTTGGGTTTTTTTTTTTTCAATGTCATATAGCGGCTGCTCATTTCGAGGCCTCGTCGTCCAAAAGGGGTTCATCCGTTTACCCCTTGACTTGGTCAAAAGAGTAGAAGGTACACCTAACCCGTGGTATTTTCACACCTATTATTTTCACACCCTATGTCGCGTAGTGGGGCGGTCAAGCTTCAACAGTTCGGGGCGCACTGAAATGGGCGGCCCCAGGCCCGCAAGAGAACGTGCCACCTGAATAGGCTCGGAATTGTTGACCATCTATCGATTTTTGTGGCTCTGCGCACAGGAGGGCGTCATTAGGGGGGAGCAGAAACGAAACTTGCTTCTGGAAGCACCGACAGTACTGTAGAGCTGCCACATCGGAGTTGACCAATTCAAATGAAATCAGCAGCATGCTTTCTAATTGGCGCGATCAAAATACCCCCAATGAACGCACGAAATTTGGGCGGTGCATTGAAATTCCAATCCAGCGCGACATTTCGACCAGGGGAGCCTCGGTTGCGACAGCGTGGCACCTTTTTGGTTTGGTGGATTACCCCTGTGAAGATACTGGGGCGTTTCGCGCCCCAGTAACTTCACACCGTCAGGATACGCCAAACGTTTGCTATCCATTTTCAGGGTGTGAAAATACCGCGGGTTAGGTGTATCCCTATCATGAGGATTCAGCGGAGCATCAAGCGCAAACCGACGTGGCAGGTCAGGATTGGCCAGGAAGTGGCGGCCATAGCCCACCAGGTCAGTGGCCCCACTTGCAATGGCAGCATTTCCTGACTCGCGCTGATGACATGGGAGGGGGGGGGGGGGGGGGGGTAGTGGCGGGTTTGTAATGGGAATGATACAGGGATGCAGGAATCCAGTAGTACATAAGATACTATACCTTCCAACTGGCTCTGCAAGGGCATTATATGTCGAACATATTTGTATAAGTTATAATAGGCTAGATAGGGGCATGCTCTTAGAGGGTACAACACTTGAACAAAATCAACATGTATGCCTCATTCTAGTCAAATTTCTACTCTGAGATGGTATCACGCGCTAGGTTAGGTCCTCCCTGCCCACCCACGCTTCCGCTCTCTTCCTAGCCCTAGCCGTCCATTCCTAGCCGCTCCTTAGCGCCCCGTCGGCCCCGTGCGCCCCACCGGCCCCGTTAGCCCCGTAGGCCCATTAGCGTCCCGTCGGCCCAGCGCGCCCTCTCGGCCCCGTTAGCGCCCCGTCGGCCCCGTCGGCACTGTGCGCCTCGCCTGCCCATTAGCGCCCCGCCGGCCCTTTCGTGCCCCCACAGCCCCGTTAGCGCCTCGTCGACCTCGTGCGTCCCTCTGGCCCTGCTCGCCCCGCCAGCCCGTTAGTGCCCTTCCATCCCGTTAGCAGCCCCCGAGCCCCGTTCGAGCCCCGTTGGCTTCGTTAGCACCTCCCGGCCATATTAGTGCCCCGCCGGCTCGTTAGCGCCCAGCCTGGCTCCCTTCAGCATCGGCCTCCCTGCCGGCTGTCTCCACCGCTCTCCACCGCTCTCCACTGCCCTTCACCGCACTCCACCGCACTCCACCATACTCCACCGCACTCCACTGCACTTCACCGATCTCCACCGCACTCCACCACACTCCACCGCACTACACCGCACTCCACTCCCCTCCACCGCCTCCTCCTCCTGTCCTCCTCACTCTGTCAACGGCCGTCAGCAGCTGCAGCAGTGGAGATGGCGGAGTCACAGCTCCGTCTGGACGCAGAGGGTCGGGCGCTCCACTTTGAGGCGTGGCTCGTCGACCTCCGGCGTCACCTTAGAGGTCAACGCCAGGATGGACATTCTTTGGCTGTTCATGTCGATGGCCTGCTTCCCCTTCCCCCCGCCCCTGCTGCCCTCCCTGCTGCCCCCACCTCTGCTGAGCGTAAGGCCTTTTCCGCTGCTGCGCTTGAGCATGCCGTCTGGGACTCGCGCAAAGCTGTCGCCCAGCTTGCTATCAGCCGTGAGCTCCCGATGTCTGAGCGTCCTTGCTTCACCTTTGTAGCGAACGCCCAGGCCTTCCTAGATGCTGTCATTGCTCGCTATTCGACCCACGCCACTGCCTCTGCCGGTCGCCTGATCCTCCCCATGATGTTTACTGATCTTGCATCCTTCCCCACTGTCCCCGACTTTGCCACGCACCTCCGCGTGCTTGAGATGAGCTACCGCGCTGCTAGCACTGAGGCACAACTCACTCTACATTCTCGCCGCCGTTCTGCGCTAACCTTTATCTCATCGCCACGCGCCTGCCTGACTGCCTAGCCACA